TTTTTATAATATTAAAAATATCTGTATGACATTATATTCTGCAGTTCTTCCCTGTTGTACCAAATATCTATACTTTTCAAATTATCATATCGAAGTTAGAAATTCAAATATTGTGACAAAATTAATTTTGTAGGGTGTCACAAGTTTGTTAAAATTTCCAAAGGGTGCCGCAACTTAAAAAAAGGTTGGGAAACACTGGTCTACACACCCTCTCTCTGAAGAAACCCCAAAAATAACAACGTAAAACACGTATATAATAAAGCTTTATACTCACCGATTGATACAGATACCAAGGCGTGAGAGAAAACGGAGTATGTTTCTATCAAATCCTCAGCCATCTGGGGATGCATGCAAAAACTACAAACACAGACGACGTTTTACAATCATGGAATGGCGTTTAAAATGAAAATACACCACATTTGTGAAAGATGCTGGGTAGTTGGCACATTAACTTAAACCACAAACGTTAAAATCTTCAAGTGACATGAACCACTGGTGTAAACGTGTGGTCTGTGTGCTGGTTATCAGATAGCCATATCTGTTCAAATTACATCAGTTCAACATAAAGAGGCAGCTGAGAAGATCTTACTCTTGGATAAAATTCTCAAGCATCTGATAAAGGCATCAAACAGACAGCGCAAACAGGAATATATGGGTGTGTAATGTAGCCTATTCTCCATGCACATGTGAGGGAATTCTGACACTCACCAAAGCACAGACCACACTCCAGTTAGGAGGCTGTGCACGAAAGACGTGGAGATGTTTTTCCATTTCCAAACGTTCCTCTGAGCTGTCTCGGGGATGGGAAGTTTGCCGACTCCATAGTTTACTAATTTGAAAAAAACTACCGAAGATCCAGTGGTCAAAATCACTGAATTCAACTCCATATTTTAAGGGCGCGCTTCTGTCTTCTTGTCACTACCCAAATCTCTCGCGCCCGTCTAGACCTAAACCCGTCAAGCGTTTTATCTGTTATTTAATAAAAAAAAATGCATCCCGGTTGCTTGTATTTATTTCATTTTCACTTTCAGTAATCCAAACATATACGACTGTTGGTAGTCCTTGTATAATTCATAAATTGCTCGATTATTCTATCTTTGTTAATAAAAAAACAAAGCTCTTTGTTTCAGCGCTCGGTTTGTTCAGTCCGATGTAAAGCTAAGAAGACACTGGTGGCTCAATTACGAGCGGCAACAATTAAATAGTAGCTAATATGTGCGTTACAAAATCCTGACGTTTGTGTAACTTTTTCTCCTTTACAATAACCAAACACGAGAATCCCCGCCCAATCATCGTGAGGCGCGGTTGAGCAAATGAGCGTCTCGGCCGTGTGTTTCCATACGTCTATGTCCCGCCCCCTATTTCAAAGTTGAATCATGGGAGATGTAGTATAGGCGGGGATTTCGTAACTTGCAATTTAAGGAAGAGAAAGGGAAAAATGTTGCAGGTGTCTTCAGCTGACGGGCGCTCTGCGTTCAAGTCCTCCTGGGATGTTCGTACTTACGAGCTAACAAACCGTAATTACCTCAGGTGCGTTGAAGTAACTTTGGTCGGAACAAGATGGCGATTTAACTTTTCGACATAAAATTCAACGATTTTAAGTTACTGTACATCTACAAAATGATGAATAAAGAATGTGCATCATTGTGTTTTTGCTGTTTTTATTCAATTTATGACGGTGATGTAAAATAAATCATTATATATTCTATAGTAATTATACAATAATCAAATATTTTGTATATGTAACTTCTATAGTTTTATTGTACATTACAAAAAAAAATATTTTTATTCATTTCAACAAATTTACCGTCAATAGCGCATATAGTCTTTGGCTGTATCGGACTGTCGGATTCCGACACTGACACGCCCCCAACTCGGAAACTCGGGGCTTAAAGAAAATTTCGCACTCATAATAAAGACTTTGTGGTGGCGTTCATGTGCGTTCAACTCATAAATACGATCTATCCAAACGACTTTTATTTTTGATGTGCCATTGAGCTTCTCCAGACTCTTCCTTATTCCATCTGTCTGAAAAAAAAGAATTATATTTACCAGTCTTATTCATAACTTTTAATTGTTAGATAGCCTATTTAACATAATAATAATAATAATAATAATAATAATAATAATAATAAATTTATTTTAAACCAATACAAGCTCATTTGTTGATCTTCATTTAATAAATCGTTGCAGAAGACATCGAGTTCGCAGCTGATTGGTTCATGAGACGGTCAATTCAGTAATAATAAACTATTTAAATCATGTTTAAAATGTATTTTCTACCAGAGAGTAATTTGAGATGAGGTGGACATGGAATTTCATAATTCGTATGTGATGCATGTGTTCACATGTGGATACGGTGGAAAAATTAAACTACTGAATTAAACTACTGAGTCTGAAAAGTGTTTTAATGGAGTTTAATTGCTAAAAGTCGCAGGTGGTTCCGTCGTCTAACCATAGGTGATCACACACCAGTGTTTATACATGAAACATCAATTAAGCAAGTATGTTCCTACAAGTATTTTGGTATCCATATAGATGATAAACTCAGTTGGGGGATGCATGTGGATGCATTTTGTTCTCGTGTGCAGCAAAGATTGTATTTTCTGCGTAGACTCAGGATTTTGGGAGTGGAGCAGAAAATCATGCATTTATTCTATCAGGCAGTTATAGAGAGTATAATTAGGTATGGTATTACGGTATGGTTTGGTAACCTTACAATTCAGGTAAAGTCTAAGCTTGCACGCTTGTTAAAAATAGCAATGAAGACCATTAGGAGAAAGGAGTTTTTGTTCCTTGAGTCACTGTGAACAGTCGGTTCTTAGGGAAGCACATAACATTTTAGCTGACCCATTGCATGTATTGCATACAGAGTATGAATTGTTGCCTTCTTGAAGACGGTACAGATTTCCAATGTGTAGGTATAATCGTTTTAAAAAGTATCTTATACCCATGTCAATTAAAATGTTAAATGATGAATGATTGTTTGTTTTTTTTAAGGGTGAGTATAGGAATTATGTGCATATTGTGTGTATATTGTTATTTATGGATCCAATGGTCTTGTCAATGTAAACACCTTGAGTCCCACACAAATTTCCCCTTTGGGGACAATAAAGTGTATTTCATTAATTTAATTCAACCAGTGGCGTCGAGCGACATCTTGTGGTTCTCTTCATGAAAGACATGTTGTGTTGGCAATATTTATATATCTTTTTTTCTCACTTCAATGGAAGTCTATGATAATCAAAATTGTTTGGTTAGCAACCTTCTTCAACGTATTTTATTTTGTGTTCTGTATGGTTTGGAACGACATGAGGGTGAAAATACATCACATACAAATTGTATACCGATATCAAACTTATTTTACTAGAAATATTTTACTAGTCACTGAAAGATGATCACTATTAACAAATTTTACTACTACTTAATGCTACACTATTGTTATATATTACAGTTGTTGTTGTTGTTGTTGTTGTTGTTGTTTTTTAGAAAAATACATTGTATGCACTCTATGCACCCCCAAATATTATGAATTTCAAATTGAATTGGGAAAAATCTCTCTCTTTCTCGCTCTCATAATAGCATTAAAAAGAATTATGCTAATAGCAATCTTCAAATGCTTACTTGTTTTGATAACAACACACATATTGTCTATAATGCACACAAGAAACAGAAGTTAGATTACAGAAGTGGCTCATTACTAGCTGCACTCACACATTTTAATGTCACCGCCACGAGCGCTGATTGGCTCACAGCTTCGCCGCTGCTGTGTCACGATGAGGTGTCAGCAGCGGTTTATCTAGTTTATCCTGAAAGGACTGCAAAGAAACGGACAGGTAGCAGTTTGCGGACCTGAGAATATCGTCTAGACAGGTAAGAAATGAGGAAAATGATGAAGTACGCGAGGACGACTGTACAAATAGGCCTATTATGAATGAAACCTTTATCAGTTTATTATTATTATTTTTAATCTATTTTTCCTTTTCTGTTAAGGTCAAAGTTGAGGGTGGTAAAGTTTATGTGACCACTGATAAAAAGGTTAGTCTCATACCATTATGATTTTATTTTATGGTTCAGTACAAGATTAGTTGCTGTTTTATTCATTTTTATTTTTATTTTTTGGCGCTTCTTAGAAACGGAAAAAGCGTGTTAAGAAAATGAGCGGTAGAGTGCCTGGAGTAAGTCACACGGTTGTTCTGATTGGAGGAGGTGAGGAGGTGAGGAATTGATACATTATCAAACCTTTATATATTAAATGCTTATTTCATGCAAGAATACATTTCACCTCATCGTTGGATGTTCATCACCCCCTAGAGGTTTTGTGGTGTACTGCATGGGGTCAGCAAATTCATAAAAATATGTTTACTAAAATGCATTATTAAGTTAATTGAAAGCAAGTTCAGCTAAATGTTTCATTGTTCCATACACATTTAAATGTATTAAATAAAATTTAATTGCGATGTACAAGTTTGTCCACCATGGCCTGAATACATTTGTAGGCCTCTAGTCTGTCATGGTAGGCAATGCAACATTTATGAGTGTTTGTGTTTTACAGGTCCAGCTTCACTGCAGTGTGCAGAAACCCTTCGCCAGAATGATTATGAAGGGAGAATTATAATGGTTACCAAAGATGAGCAGCTTCCTTTGGATAAGACCAAGCTTAGCAAGGTGGGTATCCATGGACCATAGATGAAACAAAACTAGATTTTATGATTTTAATGGCTCCCCATTGTCTTATTGAATTACAAACCAGTGTAGTTTCTTGTTTACTGTTAATGAAGCTGTGGTGTGTTCATGGACCCCTCTAGGCAATGAACATTGAAATTGAAAAGGTGCTGCTACGACAGAATGATTTCCTTCAAGAGCATGGAATTGATGTGTGGACTAAAAAAGAGGTGAGTTTCTTTTATATCTCTTATTTATTTTCCTAGGATAATTTCTGGGATCACATGCATTAACAATAATTTGTCCCTCAAAGGTAAAATCTGTTGACACAGAGGCTAAAACTCTGACTTTCAGTGATGGCACCAACCAACACTATGACCAGCTCCTGATTTCTACAGGTGGCAGGTTAAATCATAGTTTGTTTTTACATAAACGTCTCATAAAAAAGCTTAGCACCATATGTAGTGATAGACATATGGACCTTTTATCTGGATGCAGAATCCAGTGGTGAATTATGTACTTTTGTTTTTAGGACCAGACCTCTGCAGTGCCCTGGTGCTGAACTTGAAAATGTGAAATTGCTGGAGAGCTAAAAGGACGCCACAGAAATTCATAAAATGAGTGCCGGCAACAAGGCCATCATCGTTGGAACTTCATTCATAGGTATACAGAAAACAAAAGTATTCTTTCATGAACATTATTGCAAATTATGACATTCAATTATCAATTATCAGGAATGGAAGTAGCAGCTTATCTGTCTGACAAGGCAGACAGCGTCACTGTTATTGGCAGCAGTAAGTTTCCTTTCCAGTCATCACTGGGTCCAGATATCGGAAAAATGACAATGCAGGTCAGAGAACATTGTGGTATTTTCTGTGTTTTTTAATTTACTGCTATACACCATCAGTCACAAGTAATTAACCGCCTCTTAAAGATGCTGAAAGAGAAAAACGTGAAGTTCTATACAAGTAATGGTGTGGCTGAAATCCGGGGTGAAAACGGAAAGGTAAGAAGCAGCGTATTACTGCATTACTAAACAATCATAGAGCTGATATCAGTGCATCATAATTAAACTATCTAACACAATTGTTTAGGTTAAGGAAGTTGTTCTGAAAAATGGTGAAGTCCTTCCAGCGGATATTGTAATTGTGGGCATTGGTATGTACAAAAACAATTTTGCCATAGCAGTTTTGTTGTTGTCACTGAAACAAAGACATTAATTTCTAACAAATGCATTTATTATTCTTTCAAAGGTGTCATTCCCAACTCTAATTTCCTTAAGGAAACATCTGTGGAAATTGATTCACGCAGTGCTGTTGTTGTTGACAAGGTAACAGCCTTCATATCCCATAGAGCGAACACTTTAATTATAAAATATAGCAGTTTTAATGTTAGCTGTGTTTTGCAGTTCATGAAAACCAACATTCCTGATGTCTTTGCTGCTGGAGATGTGGTGTCCTTTCCACTTCCTTTGGTTGGCCATAAGAGAGTCAATATTGGACACTGGCAATTGGCGCAAGCTCACGGTACCACATGATATAATAATCAGATTCTGAATGTTCAAAAATACAAAAGTTTGGGGTCAGTAAGATTTTTAAGAAAAGAAATACTCTCAATACATTTATTAAACAAGGACAAATTAAATTGATCAGGACTTTTACATTTCTACCAAACAATTCTGCTGTTCTTTCTGTTAATCATTCCTGTAGTGTATGTGGTAATGTGTAAAATATGTGGTTGTGGTCCTCAACAGGAAGAATCGCAGGCTTAAGCATGCTGAATCAACAGGTTGTGATAAATACTGTGCCATACTTCTGGACCATGCTGTTGGGAAAAAGTATCCGATATACAGGTGATCATTCCAAGATAAATATCCCTTCTCTGAGCAAATATAATATTTTAATAAAATCATTTTAACTCTTCATCTATTTTAATTCTTCTAGGCTATGGGGAAGGATACACTGACATTATTTTCAAAGGAAGCACCGAGGAAAGAAAATTCTTGGCATTTTATATCAAGTAAGCTAATAGTTCATGAAGAAGCCTTAAAAGTCCATCAAATGATTTATATCTTGAAATTAGGATCACTCTTCGTTCATCACTGTTTATATTATAATCCAGAGATGAAGAAGTTGTTGCAGCTGCCAGCTTGAACTTTGACCCTGCTGTCGCAAGGTTGGCAGAAATGTTATTGATGGGGAAGAGGATCACTAAGGGTCAGGCACAGTGAGTATCAATAAGTTACAAACCCTCAAAACATTGTATACATAATCTAGAACTATGAATTCAAAAGCTATTTTTGAATTTATTTGCATGCATTTCAAAAGTGAAGCCTGTTTGGAGGATATAATACAGGATTTTGTTCTGCTTTCACAGATCTGATGACCTCAGCTGGTTGCAGCTCCCATGAAAGTGCTTTGGCAACACTTACCTCAATGACTGTATTGATTACAGATTGTCCATCTGTCATTATATTTGACTGACTGACCTATAGCTTATCTTCAGTAACAAAAACAGATTGGTACTGTGTTTTATCTTCAATATAATCTTTTCCCACATAAATGTTGTTTTTTTCCTGGAAGGAATAAACAGTTGTTGTGCAGTTATTCTCAGAAACAGTTGAAGACCAGATGTAGCACTTGGATAAGCATTTGTGCCAGCAGGAAATGATTTCTTCTTCAATGCCTGTATATGTGTGTGTGTGTGTGTGTGTGTGTATGTATGTATATATATATATATATATATATATATATATATATATTTTATTTTGATTTTAATATATTTTATTGTGAAATATATATATTGTATATATATATATATATATATATATAGTATATATATATATATTTTTT